TGTAATTCCAACAGAGCTGTGACAGATTCATTGATACATGAAATGGAATAGAACTTTACTCCCATTTGGTTTAATAACTTCTACCTTAATGATACCGGCTCTTTAATGATCTCACTAACGCCGACGAAAAACAGACTGATAAGTTTACCCCTTCAAACCAGAGAGTCTGGCGGCAACAGATATAGTGTTGTAATTATTTGCATTCGTAGTATTAGTATTTAGAGATGGCCGAATTACAAGAATCCAGCCAAAACGCAGAGAGGGCGGAATTCAGGAAATTGTATTTAGCGGAATTATATTCAATTCACATAAGAAACATATTAACAATCAACAGTAAGTATTTAAACAATACCGAGATAGAAATTGTGAATCACCACACTTCCCTAATTTTATATCTGTCGTTAACTTCCTTAACAACTTGTTCGCATTCCAAACACCGCTGAAACACATTTTGTCAGGTAGTTTATTATTAGAGAACAAACAGAACCTAGGACGAGTAGCTTGCAGCATTGGTTAAAAATTAGAATCTATCAGACAGCAGTTCACTTATTCTACAATAGTGTTAATAAAATGATTATTTTAGTTTATTGTTAAGTTAATCAGGATTGCTAGTACACACCTAATACCCTGACCACCGCCATGAGAAAAACAGAAAGTGATATAGTTAATATCAATCAATAATGTAGGATAACGATTGCCTTACGAAAATTGTGCTTTAGGACAGTGATATATTACACTAACTCTGCCTTACTAAACACAATGTGCTCTAGGAGCCACTTAATCAGTACCCTACCCTGCCTTCAATAACTGATAACAAGATATCAACCAAAAATATTCAGTTATTTGGAAAAATTCTCTAATGAAAAATACATTTGAGTAGAATAAATGTCAGGATTGCTTGGGGAAAAGATTTTGGGGACCTATCTGTTTAATGTGGCTAAACTGCAGACTCTGAGAATGTGCATGTTACCAGTACAAATGAAGCCCGAAAATATCTGTCGGGCTCGTCAACTGTTTGCTAACTGAAACGAAACTAGAGTCCCCTGATTTATCCGTAGGTGCGTAGAAGTTTACCTAGTTAATTTTTATTTGATCCCCTTTGATCCATTTACTATAGCTATTGGTTTATTTTGGTGCAGTGGAAAATGCACTACAACAGCTTTATTGTCGACATTTGTCTAAAAACTCAGGCGGTGATATCTTAAACTATGTGAAAATCTGCACTGCGTTCACATATTACTATGTTCACAAGAGTAAACACTTAACACTGTCACTTGTGTTCTCGGAGAAGGTTTTGCTATATTATTTGTAGGAGACTGATTGAAATATCTTACTGACTTCTGTGTTCGTCCCAACCATGGTCGAATTGGGTACAGGCTACAGTCAGTTTCAAGGTCATGATGGGTTTCTGCGCCGGCTGGTTATATGTTTTCGTGAATTCGATTTCCATTGAATTTTAGAGGTTTTTTTGCATGTTTTTCCCATTTTGCAGTGTGTAGATCAGTTTATGTCACTGGATACTACTATTAAGGTGATTTTTAGCTTGAAGTTCCCAGTTTTTATGTTGGTAGTCAAGGGTTATGGTGAACCTGCAATGATTCAGCCAAATAAGGTATACTTTTCTAATATAGTAACCTTATTCAATAAGTAAACTGCCTAACCGTTCTGCCATTGTTTAAGTTTAAAAATAAGAGCTGGTTTCTTATCATGATTGAAAGTAAATCGAACCGACTGGGTTTGCTTATCCGCTCTGTTCCATCCCTCACAGGACACATTAAGCTTGGACTAGCGTAAATAAACACTAGTATATATTTCAGTGCTTATATACCACTGGCTATGACCTTGTCAATTTACTTCATCTATGCTGACGTAGTACGCACAATTCCCACAAATCATTGAAGTGACAACTTAAAAAAGTAGATTAGTTACTAAATACATATTTCCACATGTAATAATTCAGGACACATTAAATTTATAGAAATGGTAGTTGAATTATATTCGCCTAGTAACCAAAATTGCATACATCCTATTTTGGACTTAAAATAAATGCATCAAAATTATTGTTGATTTATATTCACTTTCTGGACATTCTCATACATCTCAATATACTTTAAACATCAACAATGCATCCAAATAGCGTGTGACTGTCACACTACACTCACACCAAAAAATTACCACGCCATTATTTTATGGTAAGGTAAGCCCGAAATTTTACTGACTGTAAATTTCCGTAGCAAAATAAAGAGATTGGCGCTTTACTTTATATTTTAGACCAATAGAAAGCCAGCTAGCCAACAGCCAATAAAAAAACTGCCTATATCTACTTTCCCCATTACCATCTATACGTTTTAGTTAACTGACTAGTGTAAGTCCTTATGGCTGAGGGAATTCGTGAATATGTAAGTTCTACTACGGCTTAGAGTGTACCTATACTCTAAACACCCTTACAAACTTCTTCACCGTTTTGCAACCTTAGGAGTACACTACTCGACGCACAAATACTGACGAACTGCATCGCGGTAAAAAGACTTGATGTGACAAGAGTACCTGGGAGAATTATATTTTATTCAACGAAATATGAAATTCAATAAATAAAGAAGTCGTACAACTTATCTGCAGATGTTGCTGAAGGTAGGCTCGGAGAGTGTGCAGAAAGAGAGCACAACAAGAGAGCGAACCAATGAACGTACAGAAGAGTCAAAACTCAAAAGATAAAAGTGCGTCAAACTAGGTGAGTGAGTTTAAGCAAAAGTTCAAGGGTACAATGTGCACCACAGGTTATCCCACCCTAGAAGGTTGGTGGGAAACCAGCAAGCTTCGATATACAAAAGTAGGACGGCTTGGTACAATAGCAATGAGGGAATGCGAAGGTTTGAAGATAAGAATAGTAAAAGAAAAGAAGTTTTTCCGAAAGGAAAGAAAGCAAAAGAAAAGAAAAAATAAGGTAAGTTGGAAGTGGTATATACATGTTTAATGAAGTAAGACGGAATATAAGAAGAAATGACGCTGGTGCCTTGCGTGGTTGTAAGCATCTGCTGTTTGGTGTTGTTTTTTATCTTTAATTTTTTTATCAATTAATTTTTTAGTATTTTTTATTGAATTGATGTTTATCGATTCATTTTTTTAAAATTCCGTACTATTACGAGCTTACTTATGTGGAGGTCTGATGGTATACCTCCGCCGCCGAGGCTGTCTTAGCAAGAAGGTGACTCATTATGTCCAATTTTCATTTTAGACTAATGCTCCCTTCCTCCGCTTCAACAGAACCTAGCAGTCATATTAAAGGCAATCATTATACCAGCGTATGATAAGGAGCAGGGTAAAAACAACAGAAGAGAATGGGAGAAGAGGTTAAGATTTCAAAATCGGCGTAAAGGTACTACAAAAGCTTGTGCAAAATCAGCGCGAGGAAAACTGGTGAAACTTGGAAGTAGTACGTCAGAATGAGATAAAACAAGGGAAGTTTCTACATTGTGAGAATTTATAAAATTACAGAGAAGTTTGTACATAACCAACAGCTATGAGTAGCTACCATTACAAAAATTGTTTTGTTCATTTTGCGAAGCGCATACTAAGATGATGCATAATGTTTATGAGTACGTTTCACAAAATAAATAAATTGCAGGAGGGCATAAACCCGAAGGAATATAGTACAGCCTGTGAAAATAAATTGAGCGGATTACAATGTACAGCATAGAGGTGAAGCATTTATGCGCAAAAATATGTATATCGGTCCATTTAACTATACAGTGGAAGTTTCTTTTTCTTTTTTTTAAAAAAATTTTTAGACTTTTTTTAATTTTCTAATTGTTTTATTCGTTTTGTTATTTTTTTATTTGTTTATTTTTTATTATTTCTTTTTACTTTTTTTAAAAATTTTTAGTGATTTTTTTGAAGAAATTGTGCAGTGAAAAGTAATATACTGTTCGTAATTCCTCAATGGGTATGGGTTACAAGATGACATGAGAAGCCAACTGGTCTAGCGAGTAGATTGAGATGAAATAGATGAAAAATTAGGGCAAAAAACTGCTGCTGATCCTCTGTAATGACAGAAAAAGATTAAAAGGATTAGTGGGGGAAAAACGACTACTCCCAGAAGCGGAACCAAATAGAGTAAATATAGCAAAATTGAATAAAAAATTGTGACAAGGTATAAAAAACCACTAGTAGCATTACCTATGGATTAGTTCAGTGAAAGAACTCTGTGAACCTCTTGGGCCAGTGAACACGTCGACCAGCACGTGTGACAGTGGTCTTACTGGTGACGGTAGGAGAATCATCATTCGCCACTGGAGGTGAGGTAGTTGAGTCTGGACAAGGACTAGGTTCAGTGGGGCTATTTGATTGAGCCGATGGGGAGGGTGAAGGTTCTTCAGTGTATGCCGCTTTAAGTCTGTCTATGCTGACAGTGTCTGGGCGGCCGCATCGCTCAATAACGAAAAATTTATCTTTACGACTAAGGACCTTAAAAGGCCCGTCATACGGTGGTTGTAATGGCTTTCGTATGGCGTCGTGACGCACGAAAACGTGCGTACAGTCATCAAGTCGCCGATCAACCTGAACCTTTCGGTTCTGAGTGCGTGTGGAAACCGGTCGGATTCGCTGCATAAAACTTTTAAGTTGCTGAGCGTAACAGGTGGTATCGGGGAAATTTGGCTCGAAAGCTTCAGGAGCGATTAGCTCGCCTGGTAAACGCAGGGTGGTACCGTACACCAATTCAGCTGGCGAGCACTGCAGATCTCCTTTAAGCGTAGCCCGGATGCTAAGCAGGACCAGTGGCAGCGAATCTGTCCACTTACTGTTGTCTACTGCCATCAACACGACTTTCAGTTGACGGTGGAAACGTTCTACTAGCCCATTTGCCGCAGGATGATACGCGGTTGTGCGAATGCGTTTGCATCCCAGCATCTCTAACAATTCTTTGAAGCTTGTGGATTCGAATTGTTGTCCGCGGTCGGTAGTGACAGTTGCGGGACATCCAAAATGGGCAACCCAGCCTTCCATGAAGGCACGACAGATGGTTTGAGCCGTTACATCTTGTATCGGAATGGCTTCCGGCCAACGTGTGAAACGATCCACACATGTGAGTAAATACGAGCAGCCGTTAGACGGGGGCAGGGCCCTACTATATCCAGGTGTATATGATGGAACCGAGCGTCTGGGGTCGCAAACGTCCCCAACGGCGTGATGTTATGCTTGGTGACTTTAGCACGTTGGCATTGCAGACAAGCACGTGTCCATTGACGCACATCACGGTTCATACCGGGCCACGCAAATCTCGCTGATATCAACTTGTCCGTTGCTCGTATGCCAGGATGGGAGAGGTTGTGGAGGGACTCAAACACGGTGCGGCGTAAAGACGTGGGAACAATCGGTCGAGGAGTACCCGTTGACATATCGCAAAGTATAGTTGTTTCACTGTTTAGCAAGGGGACGCGTTCTATCTTCAGTGAGGTTTTAGTTGACAGGTGTTCTAAGTTCAAATCCTTCAGTTGGAGTTCGGCCATTTTATGAAGATCGATGGTTGGTGGTACCGACGTGGCACATACGCGAGACAAAGCGTCTGCTACCGCGTTATCCGCTCCAGAAACGTGCTGGATATCGGAAGTGAACTGTGAAATGTAGTCCAGGTGGCGTAATTCACGTGGTGAATACCTGTCAGAAGTGGTGCGTAAGGCATACGTTAATGGCTTGTGGTCGGTAAATACTGTGAATTTCCGACCTTCGACGAAATGGCGAAAATGCTTGATAGCGGCATAGATGGCGAGGAGTTCTCTGCTAAAAGTGCTATACCTCGCTTCAGTCGCCGACAACTTCCGAGAGAAAAAGGCTACCGGTATCCATGAGTTGTGCGCTTGTTGTTGTAGTACAGCTCCAATGGCTGTGTTAGATGCATCAACCGAGATGCTAAGCGGAAGTTGGGTGTCTAGGTGAACTAACATGGTTGCGTCTGCAATCGCTGATTTAATTTTTTGGAACGCTTCCCTAGCCTCTTGTGTCATGCTGAAGGTTTTGCATTTACCCTTCAGAAGGTCTGTGAGTGCATGTAAAATATGTGCACATTGAGGAACGAAACGTCGGTAATAACTTACCATGCCTAGGAATGTGCGCAAAGATTTCATGGACGTAGGCTCTGGGAAGTTTTGTATGGCTAGTACCTTCTCAGGTAACGGTCGAATGCCATGTTCGTTAACGACATGTCCCAGAAAATTCAACGAATGTACGCCAATCTGGCATTTTGACATGTTAAGTGTCAAACCGTGTGTTGCTAATCGCTCAAAAACTATCTGCAAATGCCTACGGTGAGTAGCTTCATCAGGGCTAGCCACGAGAATACCGTCCAGGTAGGCATACGCGCAATCTAATCCGCGCAAAACATCATGTATGAAACGCTGGAATGTTTGTGCGGCGTTGCGGAGACCAAACGGCATGCGGAGGAATTCGAAAAGACCAAAAGGAGTGATGACTGCCGTTTTAGGAATATCCTCAGGATGAACTGGGATCTGATGATATGCTCTAGTTAAATCAAGTTTACTGAAAACCGTTGCACCATTGAGGGAAGATGTGAGATCATGTATGTGGGGTACCGGGTAACGATCTGGCACGGTCTGCGCATTAAGTCTGCGATAATCGCCACAAGGTCGCCAATCTAACCCGTTATTCTTGGGTACCACGTGCAGAGGTGACCACGGGCTGCTTGAAGGCCGGATGATTCCAATTTCTAACATGTGTTCAAACTCAGCCTTAACGGCTTGTAGTTTTTCCGGAGACAACCGTCGGGGCTTTGCGAAAACTGGCGGACCAGTCGTAACAATATGATGTGTGACATTAGAAGTCACGCTTGGTAGACAACGGGTAGGTTTAAACAAGTCCGGAAAGGATTGAAGTATATCAGAATATGGTCCAGCTAAAGTTGGTGTAGCGTATACTGGGCTGAGAGCTGGGCCTTGTGTGACGATACCGCTGACGGAGAGGTTTGTGACAGGATCTCTTAACTTATGATTACCTGTATCTAACAGTAATTGGTAGTGCTGCAATAGATCCATGCCAATTATACCTGTGGTAACGTCTGCCACCAGGAAGACCCAACGAAATGAACGACGCAAACCGATGTTAAGGTCTATAAAGCGCCTGCCGAACGTAGCAATTGGCGAACCATTTGCGGCTCGTAGTTGAAGAGACATTGGCCGCCTGCGCTCCCCTACTATGGGTGGGATTACACTGACCTCCGCTCCGGTATCAATTAGGAAGCGTATCCCCGTGTTACGGTCGGTAACATAGAAGAGGCGACATGAGAGTGGTTCGCCAGCGACGTTAGTCGCCAGTACGTGCTGGCCTGCTAGTTTCCCGATTGTTGAACATCGAAGGTGCACGGGCGAGTGCACTTTTGGGCTTTGCTTCGTAACGTCGATGATACCAGCACACTCCAGGCTGGTTACTTCGGGACTGTCGGCGCTTGCTGCTAGCACGTGACAAGGGTCTACTACTACGCGAACTCGAGCGACTGCGTGCACGACTCCTGGAGTTCATCTCCTGTCGTATACTACAGATCTCCTCGTATAGCTTGGCTATATGGGCCACCGCGTCAAAGCTTGATGACCCCCGTCAGAAGAATCTTTAGTCTGAGCAGGAGCAGCGGTTACTGTTGCGGAAATGCCAATTTTAGGATTGATGGCCTCTACCGCTCTATCAGCTGCCTCGGCTATCTCCTGTAAGGGGTACTTGTAGATCGGTGCCAAGATACCCTGGACTGTCTGAGGTAATCTTTGAAGCCAAAGCTGTTTCAGAAAGACCTCGTCAATTTTAAAGTCCGTCACTAACTGCTTCATCTGCCTCAACATTTGTGAGGGCTTGCGGTCACCTAACTGAACATCTCGGAAAAGTTCCTGCACTTTCTGTTGGTCAGTAAGTGCGACTCGTTGAATTAACGCCTGTTTGAGCCGCTCGTACCGATCCGGAGACGGATCTGCAAGAACGTCAGACACCTCGTCTATGACATTTTCAGGCAGGCTCACAATCACGTGGTTTACTTTGGTCTCTTGTGAGTGTATGTGTCTAATGGCAAACTGAGCCTCTATATGATTGAACCATGCAGCTGGACGATGTGTCCAGAAGGCGGGGAGTTGCAGCGTTATAGCCATCTCTGACGCAGAACCGTTGTCAGCCATCTTGCACACAAGACAAAATATTAACAAGGTGATAAAAACCAATATAAGTACAAACAAAACAAATCAAATCTTTATAACCGTGCGTGAAAGAAAAAAAATTAACAAAATAGACGGTATGTAAAAAGAATTATTAACACGTTAAGCTACTATGGCGGTAAACGGTGAAAACGGGCTCACCACTTGTAAGAGTTCTACTACGGCTTAGAGTGTACCTATACTCTAAACACCCTTACAAACTTCTTCACCGTTTTGCAACCTTAGTAGTACACTACTCGACGCACAAATACTGACGAACTGCATCGCAGTAAAAAGACTTGATGTGACAAGAGTACCTGGGAGAATTATATTTTATTCAACGAAATATGAAATTCAATAAATAAAGAAGTCGTACAACTTATCTGCAGATGTTGCTGAAGGTAGGCTCGGAGAGTGTGCAGAAAGAGAGCACAACAAGAGAGCGAACCAATGAACGTACAGAAGAGTCAAAACTCAAAAGATAAAAGTGCGTCAAACTAGGTGAGTGAGTTTAAGCAAAAGTTCAAGGGTACAATGTGCACTAGAAATATGATAAACGTTTTCTCGTAAGTCAATAGAAAATTTAGTGGATAGTCCAATGTAAGCAGGTAATTACAGGTAATTAAACCTTTTTTCGATAAAGAAAGGAAGACGAAATTTGCAATCTGTGAGTTGGACAAAACTCACAGCATAATAAACAACGTTTTCAACGAGGGCAAAATCCTATTTTCGGACGTCTTAGTCAAGCGAACAAACAGGAAAATTAGAAACTCAAGTCTGTAGAAAATCAACTCGCACAGACCAAATACTCAATTGCAACAGCGACAACCCAATAACACACAAAAGGAGTCATACGCAAACACTACTCAAGAGAGCCAGAACTTGTTGTAGCAATCCCACCTTAAGCAAAATCAAAGAAATATATCTCATAGACGTCTTCCAAAAGAATGGATACACACGGAACTTCATCAAAAGATATCTACCCCAAGGACGACCTACCAAATCAAATCACCCTACCATATATACAGGACATCTCAGAAATTGCTGCAAGACTCTTCAAACCTTTAAGAAGTGACTTCGCACACAAACCAACAAAGTCACTTCACTCGGCTGGCTCTATGTCACCCAACAGACTCAACGGAGGAAGAAGACAATACCAACATCATCTACAAAATAGGTTGCAGCGACTGTGAAAACACTATATTGGTCAAAATGGACATCCTCTTCGTCTTCGTACTCGTGAACATAAATTAGCTATCAAAAGACATGACATCCACTCCATCATATCGATACACACAGACAACCATGGACATCAATTCGACTGGGACAACCAGTGTTCAAATAATACACAGAGGAAACAGCAAGAATGTTAGAGAATTTTTAGAAGCCTGGTATTCCAATGAGTCATCAGTTAATAGATTAAAGGATTTCATCATGAGCTGACAATGGTTCAAGAACTATTAGAAAAAAACCTGGTAGTACTGGATAGCTGTTTCATCCTAGCTTGGGGTTCTTCAGCGGTACGCATTCACCAAGGTTCGAACCCAGAACTTTCTGACTACAAAGCCAGCGAGCTCGTAGACCATTAATCCACTGGGACGGACCCAAATGGTCCATGAATTCCAGCTTCTGCCAATTCATGACATAGCGCGACCACTAGACCATGTCTTCGGAGAGTATTTGTCTCCACACCCGATCTGCTGCACTCTACGTATCATGACTTCCCATTAGAACCCCAGGTAGCTACGTGCCTGAATACTGCCAGTCACTAGTAAGCATCTCATTAGTATTCAAGTATTGGTTTGTAGGGATTTGATTGATTAGGTAATCGTGACCAGTAGGATGCTGCAGTTCGGGTGTGAGGACAAATACTCGCCGAAGACATCGTCTAGTGGTCGCGCTATGTCACCGGGAGAGATGACTAATAAGCTCGTGGAGAAACCTGAAGGTTCACTTCAAATTGAAGCGTGTACTGAAGGTGCTGCCCAGTAGGGCAATAAAAGCTTTACAAATAAGCTATACAGCTCAGAGAACACAAATACAACAAAAATATACCTGATTATGTTTTTTGTCATTCAAAAACAGACTTCTTCGGCAGAATCATTTCATTTTTATTTGGAAAGCTTGTAGTAAGCCTGTTTATTTACATAATACCCTATCTATACATTGTTCACACTATTCAATTAATTTTGATACTCGGGAATCTTGTTTTTAACCACGGAACACTAAACAGGACAGATAAAACGCTCATTATAAGAAATCACTGTATATATTTGGTTCTTTTCACTAAATATGTGAGAATGAAACACAACTTTTCTAAATAACGTTATACAATAACGACGAAACTACTACATATTATTATTTGTGAAAGTATGCATGTTTTGTTAGAAAATCAGTTCACAATTAAGGTAATTTTTCATTAAAAATACTGATAGGCGAATGCAATAAATTCCTCGTAACTTAGGCTTCCATCTCTGTTTTTATCATACTTATCAACCCACTGTTCTACTTGTACAGGGAATACAAAATTACAGTCATTCTTCATATATTCTTTCAATTCTTTCTTTGACACGGTCCCATTCTTATCTCTATCCATTTCTCGAAATATTTTTCTTAAAGCGGCACATCTACAAAACAAGAAATGGTTACCATTTTTCTAAAAACAATTAAACATTCAAAAGTAAGAAAATCAAAATATCTTTGATTTTTGAATATATACTTGGTTTCAAACAAACGTTTTTGTAAGGTGACGTGATTTAGAAGGCTACTGATATCTAAGAGCATGTATCTTCTTTATGAGGGCCTTTTCCGTAGTGTTTATTTGTAAATCAGCATATGGCTAGATGAAGAAATCGACTCATGTTGACCACTTAGAAGAAATAGACAAATACAAAGCTACTGCTTCACCTGATTGCTAACACGAAATCAAAACTTTATCGTCACTGTGGTCGGCTGAGATTTTGAAAAACTTTCTGTTTTGTTTTAGTATCAAGAGGTTTATCCGTACATTTGTTTAGTCCTAAATGTGATCAGTTGTGACGTCGGACTAATACAAATATTTCACCCATGAAATTCAGATGATATGAACAATTTGTGTGTATGACATAACAAGTAAACATTTGAAATGAACCTTTTATAATTCTTTTCGCTATAAATAAAGATAGGACAAAGACTTAATTGTCAGTACAAAACATATGAAGGTCTTGTACTGAAAAGTAGTCCAAATTCTAAGTGGAACAGATGAACTTGTTGAAAACGTGCAGCAAAGAATGTGACAATGGACGTACAGTATATGATTCAGGTATTCCAGTGTATAATTAATATTAAAACAAGGAAGGTAAAGACATTTCTTAACTAGAAGCACTCATCAGCTGTGAATAATACTATTTGAGGATAATTGAGTAGTTTTAAAAACAAGCAAAACATTACCAGAAACAGAGAGTAGGTTAAATCAAGAAGCGAACGGTGATCTACGGTATATTTTCGATGCAACCACGTCTCTTTTTAAATGAATCACCCATACATGATCGGGTGTATTGGGCATAGGAATAAATTAAGAGGCTTGATAAGATATTTGAAGGACTATCACAACAGTAATCAAAAGAAGCTTCCTCATACTATTTTTACCACTTATGAGCAAAGTACCTTCATTGTTTACGTCATTTAGGCGATACACACATCAACAATATGAAGGGTAAACAAATAAATATTCATAAACATATCGATGGAATTCTTAGTGGCATTTAGTAACAGAATGGAAGATCAAGAAGGCCAACATTTAAAGATTGAAGAATCGATCATAAAAATAACGACCACTCTCAAAAGCATTCCTATAAATTATACGTAACACATTTTCTGGGCTTAAATGTTGTGTACGCGTGAGCAGGTAGACACTTTAAGATAAAAAATGCTCTTGATGATTAAATGGTGGAAAGAATCTGGAATTTGGATGATGCTGACTATGTTATCCACTGTTACTTTTACATAAACGGAATAGCTGTAATTCTTTTTAAAGAGTAATATTATAACAAAGGCAAGAAGAAAACTCACGACACATCACATTGTGAAAGTTTCTTATTTGTAGCCTTCATAAATTCCTTTTTAGAAATCTTCCCGTCTTTATCTTCGTCAAAAAGTCGAATCGCTTCCTTTAAAATAAAAACAATACCAATAAATTTCTAGTTTTTAAACATGTGTTTAATAATAAAGTTTGTTGGAAAATGAAATAAACCGATAACAATAACTCTCACCTGTCAAAGTCACATTTTTCGCTGCTAGGTTAGTGCTAAGTGGATAGATTATGTCATCTGATGATGTAGGCTAGAGAACCGAAGAACAATGAACAGCTGCTTCGTTATAAAACAAAACTTTCCTGAAATAGCCATTCATTGTACCGCAAGCAATCACATACGGGAAAGTAAACTTTTGAGAGAAATTATAGTTCTTGTTTCCAGCTTTAAACAAATTATGCCAAAGCTATCCATTATTACGGAAGAGTTAATTTCCTCACACTTGTCTTGGCTGATTCTTCTGATCATGGCTTCTCCTAAGAATTTAGGAGGTCATTCAGGAAATTAATTATCAATGAGCTGTAAAGTGATATTCACTTATAGGATTTTCGGGAAACTGAATACTTCACAGACGGAGTTTTCCAAGAATCGGCATCAGATGTAATACTGTGGTGTGTGCTACTGGTAAGATTTATCAGTAGTATGTTAACAGACGATCGTAGGCATAAAACATCAAATAGCAGGGAGACAGATTTGATATCAGATGCAGCGTTGCGGAAATACACGAGAGACGTGAAAGGAACATAAATAAACACAATATAAAGGCCAGAAGAAGCACAACATGGAAGATCTGTGGAAATGATCCGTTGACGGTAAGGTGTACATTATATATATTTCTAAAACAGCCAAAAATGGAACAGGTAAGGTGAGCCATTTTTCAATGGAAATTTCAGTCTTCAAAACAGGACAGAAGGTGACATGGTAAAATTTGCATACTCTGTTATTATCAAGGAAGTGTGAGACTCATCACTGTCTCTTTCTCTGTACATAAATTTGGTTTTAATCTTTTGATGGGAATTACCTCAGAAAAACGTAGCGGACTAGGTTTCTTTTGGCTGTTGATTTTTTAAAAGTCTTCAGATTATCCACAACATGGCCAGCATCAACTAAATGACTAGCAACCACACTGTTTAATTCCTGTAAACCCTTTAGTTTCAGGTCCTTTGGTGCGTGTTCAGAAATGAGAACAATAACCCTTCTTCCTGTTATTGAAACCTCCGTGCTTTGGCACGTACGTGTAAATTGGTAGAAACAGTTGCAAGTAACATGAGTTGGGAGTTTATCCACTTTTGACTGTCTTATACAATTGGTCGTTTGGTAAACACAAACAAGCTTGGCGGTTAGATATATTCTTTTTCGGGTAGCGTTCAGTCTGCATGTTATTCTACTAGCAGTATCATCACCTTTGAAGACAAGCTGTAGAAAGATGAACTTCTTCTCTGCTTTGCTATAATTCCTTTTGTCAACGCTACATTTTCCATGTCTGTCGATGGACTTCTCTGGGTAATCTTTATCACGCAGACATTTTTGCACAATGGATGACTCTTCCTTGAAATTTTCTTCTGAGCAAGGCTTCCACACACGTCAGATAGTGTTCTCACCAATCACTTTTTGTAACATATGGGGTAGAAACCTTTGAAGTTCAGACAGATAGTCCTCCAGGTCTCTTTTCCGTAGATGTACCTTACGATTTAACCGTCTATCTTACATTGGATATCAAGAAAGTGAAACCTGTCTTCATTTTCACGCTCCACTCTAAATTTTGTATTAGGATGACCACTATTCAGGACGTTTAATATTTGAGATGCATCATTAAAACAATCACAAATGAAGAACGTGTCACTGACATACCTGATATGCAAGTCTGACTGATCTATTGCGGACTTCATGCTTATTTGTTACAGGTTTCCCATAAACTTATCTGCCAGAATCGGTCTTAGTGAGCTTCCATTAGCTACCCATTAATTCAGTGGTGCAGAAGATTGTTGGACTGAAACTATGTATCCTTGGTAAATATTAATAACAGCTATTTGAGTTCGTCCTTTGAGAGCGGAAAGGGGTCATATAATTTGAATCTTTTCTTCTACCTCAATCTTTGTAAACAGCAAAGACACGTCAAATGACACTATGAATTTATTTGAAATGCTCAAATTTCAAAACTGTTTAATGAGCTGAAAAGTGTCCTTCAAGCTGTGGAAAGCTAACCTGACGTGAACAGGCTCAAACAATTCTGCTAGCCATCAAGCTATTTTGTGATACGGAAAATTAACCATGGATAGTATTGGTCTCATGAAAACGTTGGGTTTATGCACATTTGGTAAGCCGTATAAGTAAGGTAATTTGGATCCACTAGGCTTCAGTTCATTATGTGCCTTGTCGTAAATAAGCTTCTTCAAAAGTTCTCTTAGTTCCTCGATAATCCGTCTTTTTATTGATTCAGTCAGATCTTTTATCGAATGATCAATTCGAAATGTTGATGTTTCACTTATAACTGATTCGACTTTCTGTGGATAATTATCTTTAGCCATTATCACAACACCTGACCCTTTATCGGATAGCAGAATAACAACAGAGTCGTCGTGAGTTAAATTTCTTAATGCTGTTTGATCTTTCAACAAGACTGCTGACTGTGAATTTGGTGATGTAGTATGTTGACTAGCTATATCAACAAATCGAGATTTAAACCAACCTTGTTCCTCTTTATCCACTGGTTTTAATTCAGCTAGTTGGTGATATAAGCCTTCGAACAAGGTTTCAACATCAATTTTGTTGATAAATTTCGTCGGAATATGGAATATGAGCAAATAACGTCATTCCTGACTGATGTTACTTTTAGTTCCTACTAATTACTGCTTGTCATCATAGAAAAGTATATTCATATCTTTAACGTGATTTATATTTTTGTATTGTTCAGACTGTAGTCAGGTGAGGAGAATCCTCGAAATAACAAAAGACGAGCTCATATTATCCTGATACATTTGTTGTTCTTGCTTTGTTCAAATTTATTAGTGAGAAGAATCGTTTAAAGTTGTTAAATTATACTAAATTTTATTCTGCTTTCCAGTTTAGTGAAAGTGAGTAAGGATTTGCACTCACCCTTTCTTATGTATTTTGAGTACAATGCTAATACTAACTTTTACTACCTAGTATTAGATACTACGCCTCTCTGTAATAGTTTTATCCATTTCCTTTTGTTTTTGCCTCTTGTTTTTATCCGATTATTGTAAAACGGAATCCATTAGTATGCATGGTTTGATCTTAAGTCAGTTAGCATAAGGACCAACTAGAATAACTGTATTTTGGTGACATTTTCAGACAAAATTTAGTGTTAAACTTATAGTTAGCTAAAGATGAATTCATATAAGTAAAAATGACGGCAGTACTCATTATTGCCTGGGAGAAGAAACATTTAATCATTGAGGTTTACATGAAATGTTAATTTCACAAAAGATTTCCTCACAAAAGGACATCAGCTAAAAAGTCACTGGCATCTTTGAAGTGTTACAGGGATCATGATATCAGAAAAGCTCTACGCTAATGACAGTGAATGGTTATTACGCTACATACCGAATCAACAGAAACTAGGAAACAGAAGCAATACTAGCCATGTAGCTGGATGGCAAAGTTCTGTTTCCGAAACATGACTATCTGACATTGACATCTCCCCAGATGATCACCACTGAACTGCCTCACTCTGGAGTAAGACAATTCTCTATCGATTTAAGGTTTTCGATGATCTGTTGACCGATATCAATTTTGATAAAATTTATTTGAAACGACAGAAAACGTAGTGTCAGCAAACTTAAGGACAATGCTCAAAGAAGCTATTTTTGTTATAATCCTCTTCAACGTAATAAGTGTAACACTTATAAACTGTGAAAAAATGCATTTAATATTGGTACAACTAATAAGATAAATTTAAAACTGAATTTTCATATCTGTTGAATGAAGACAATAATCAATAAAGAGTGGTTTTAACTTTGTTCTCTGTTTTTGTTCCTAGTCATTAATTCTGGTTTATAGACTGCATATATCCTGTATATTTTGTAAAGTACGAGGCAAAGCGGCAGGACCCGACGGAATTATTCCGGAGGTGTTTAAATATGGGGGTGACATACTAGTTTGTAGATTAACTGAGGTACTAGGCAAAGTCTGGGAATCAGAGACAGTGCCATCAGACTGGGGTAAGTCACTTATTATACCGATATTCAAGAAGGGAAACAAGTCCTCGTGTGATAATCATAGGGGGATCAGCCTAACGAACATAGTCTCTAAAATCCTAGGCTCAGTAATCATGCATAGACTAAGCAGAACTCGGGAGGAACAGACAAGGGAAAATCAAGCAGGCTTTAGACCAGGTAGAGGGTGCATAGATCATATCTTCACTCTTCGACAGATTCTAGAACATAGACACACTTTTCGGCGTCCAACAATTGTCATATTTCTTGACTTGAAGGCGGCCTTCGACTCCGTGGATCGAAAGGTACTATGGCAATGTCTGACTGTGAAGGGAGTGCCAAGAAAGTACATTGCACTAATCAAGGCACTCTATTCAAACTCACGTAGTCGTGTAAGGGCTTATGGGGAATTGTCATCTGAATTGGTAACAACCAGTGGTGTCCGACAGGGATGTCCACTTTCCCCATTTCTGTTTAACTTCATCATAGATATGCTGATGGAAGTATCCTTAACTGAACGTAATGACTTAGGAATCGACTTGTTACCAGGGAATAATCTAATGGACTTAGAATATGCAGATGACATAGTCCTGTTAGGGGAGGATGCTGACAAAATGCAGAGTCTTCTGAACACCTTGAGCAGCAATCTTCGTATGTTTGGCATGCGATTCGCCCCTGCAAAATGTAAGATGCTGCTACAGGACTGGACGACGTCAACCCCTAACTTAGTGATAGGGAGTGAAGTGATAGAACATGTTGACCACTTCACCTACTTGGGAAGTTGTATTAGCACCAACGGACTGATTGGCGATGAAATCTCAGCACGGATCCGAAAAGCTCGAGCTGCTTTCGCTGACTTACACCATCTCTGGCGTAGGCGTGACATCCGGTTATCAACCA